CTTGAAGATTTGAGTTTTCGGGAGTCAACTGTAGCATCAGTCAAAATGGTCTGCAAATTATCCAAATGTTTCAGCAGTAATACATATGTAGCAAGTGGAATTTACAAATGTTGGTTTATGATTATTATATTATTATGATTATAAATAATTATTATATTTATCGCTATTGATGTCGGAAGATACATTTTTTTCTGTTTTTCCTCGGAAAATAAAATTTGATAATTTATGGTGTGAATTTACTGACTTATTTTATTTTGACAAATCACACTAATTGTGCATATGTACTTTATTGACGAACAATTATTTCTAAGAGGGTTTAATACTTTGTTATTTTAGAATGATGAGTTTAGAGACTGGATTCTTAGAAAGTTGATTCAAGGTGAACGAGCCTGCCACCGGTCTCCTAACTTTGCAAAATTACATGTGAGTGTAACAGATGCAACTGTTGGAACAATAATGATAAGTGATGTCATAACAAAGTAACTAATGACTTTTTTGTATTCAATTTGACGATCATCCTTCTATCATTTGTGAAAGGCATATATTATATCATGGTTGGTATGAATTGTATCTCTTTTCCCCAGTATTTTTTCATGCTATGAAGAAAAAAAAATATTGTAGCATCGTGATAAACAAGCAGAAAATAAACAGTTATGTATTTATTCTGCAGTACTTCTCAATAGCTTTCATTTTAATGGTCGCACACTAGGGTTTCACTCCATGGACTTAAATGTTGGAACCACTTTATAAACAGTACCACATGAAAGTACTGCTCAATATCTTACATTTGAATGGTCACACACTAGGGTTTCATCCACAGACTTAAAAGTTAGAACCACCTTGTACAGCATAATAAACAGTACCACATGAAAGTACTGCTCAATATCTTACATTTGAATGGTTACACACTAAGATTTCATCAACAGACTGAAAAGTCTGAACCACCATGCACAGCATAAGAAACAGTATAATATGGTACTGCTCAATGGCTTTCATTTGTCATGAGTAATTACACAAGGGTCTCTTCTGCAATGTATTCACTTAAGTCAGAACCACACAGTACAACATAAGAAACAGATATAACCACAAGAAAGCCTTGCACAATAGCTTTCGTTTGAACAGTCATACAACAGGGTTTTGTCCCATGGTTGATTCTGAAAGATAAAAGGATAAGACAGTGTGGAGATGCCCCTGGCCCATTAAGTAAATTAAGTAAATTGCACTGATGATGAGGATAATGATGATGTTGATGATAAAACGTTGATTTCTGTTGTTCATGCAGGCTCGCACACGGACACTTATAATGGAAGGGCTTCTCAAGTCAGTTGCAAGGAGTTCACATTCTACCGAGGGTAGAAAAATTTCTCAAAGCTCAGCTTCACCAAGTGCATTTCATGACAGTCACATGACAGTTAGCCACGTGTCTAGGGATTTTAGCTCTCTCGGCATGGCAGGGCTAGATAGAGAAGACCTGGTAGCATTCCTAGTTGGTGAGACATTTGCTTTGTTGGTTGCACCTTGTGGAGTAATGTTTTGCTCTAGCAAATTGAAGGAGGTGAGTCGCCCAGGAAGAAGAAGAAGAAGAAGACACTTGACCCGACACGCACTTTACCTTTAAATAAATATTAAATAATAAATTGCGCTATTTAGAAAGGAATCCACATCAGCCTTAGCTGGTTTTCATACAGGTGTTCTATCCTGGTTGAATTGGAATTTGGAGATGTTGGTTTTTGTTAGTGTGACGAGCCCAAAGAGCTGATCTATGTAGGAGGCTACATTGCTGTCCTACTTTCGCCTCCTCTTATTCGGGATTGTGAGTCATTTACTCATAGCTGAATCTTCTTAACTCACTCATTATTTATGTTGAGCTTCGTCTACTCTTAGGAGACACTGATCCAAAGAGTTTCATTGGAGTCAAGTCCACGATGTCAGCTAAGAGCAAGTAAATAATAATATTGACCACTGTTCTTTTTGCATGTCTGTCAATGTTTTAGTTTACACGATAGTGAAGTTTCTGTTGTTTTCCAATGCACACAGCACGCAATGCATCCTGACGAAAACTGGGTCCTTATATTTATCCCCTCAACCTCCAGTACTAAATATGAATTCTTTCTAAGGACAAGTGTGATATTTGCTGGAATATTGCTTCAGCATTCGAACAATGCAAAAACACCTTAGATCAATATTAGTGTCAGAGGCTTTTCACGTATGGTTTCCAAACGTGTTGGCTTGGGTGACCTGAAGCACGAAGATTTGTCCAGAAATGCATGCAGTAATGAAAATGGCGTATTTGATGAAATTTTGCTGACGATATTGATGGATTTGATAACATTTGTCTATTTGTGGGAATTTTGTCAAAAGTGATAAAATCTGATGAAATTTCGCCAAGCCTGTTGACAAAATAATACAAGTGAATAGACGTGACTGAAATAGCAGGACCCCAAAAAGTTGACCAATTTGTCGAAAATAACGAAATTGGTGAAAGTGACAAATCTGACAAAATTTCGCCAAGCCTGTTGACAAAATAATATGTGTGAATAGAGGTGGCTCTAATAGAAGGGCCCCAAAAAGTTGACGAATTTGTCGAAAATAATGAAATTGGTGAAAGTGACAAATCTGACAAAATTTTGCCAAGCTTGTTGACAAAATAATATGCTTGAATTGAGATGACTCTAATAGGAGGGCCCCAAAAAGTTGACAAATTTGTCGAAAATACCGAAATTGGTGAAAGTGACAAATCTGACACAATTTTGCTAAGCTTTTTGACAAAATAATATGCATGAATAGAGATGACTCTAATAGAAGGGCCTCCAAAAAGTTGACTAATTTGGCAAAAACAAACATTCACTCAGTTTGACAAAGTCTCGTCAAATCTACCAATTTTGTTACTGCATGCATTTCTGGACATACAACTGTAAGGGTATGAGTGAGGGAAAAAATCTCCGGTACCCAGCGTAGGGAAGCAGATTCACAAGGACCATCAAAATGACTGTTTCACCATTTGTTGTATTGTCTCCTCAACAGAGTGTTTCACAACTTGTTCTTGCAAGATCTTGGTCATGTTTATGCACATTTACCAGTGAGCAAGAACAGCTCATCAACAACAGCCGCAGCTGCAGTGCCTGTGTTTAAACGCACAATCTCTTGGACTCGCACCAGTCCTGTGATACACACAGGGCTGCGCAGCGGCAAGGTGAACCTTGAGAAGATACGGCGGAGTAGGAGTGAGAGCGATGGTGCTCATGACGAGAGCGTGACATTAGAATCAGTCACAGATCTTGAAAACAAGAAGGAGCATGAGAATTCTGTGGCATTGTCACAGTTACAGTGTCCAGAGGTACAGAGCAAATGTCTTGGTTCTGGAGTGTTGTAAGAGTGCTATTATTTACAGTTATTTCTTTTGGTGGCCTTAAAAGAAAGAGGGTGGGTGAATTACAGAACACATAACACTAGTCTTATTAGAGGGAAAAAAGCAACTACAGAATGCTGGGCAACTGTGGACCACCTTATTTACATGTGTAACAAAGCATAAGACAATAGGCACTTTTGTGATTTAATAAGACGTACATAATGTATTCAAGTGGCCCTGCATTCTGTAGTGTAACTGTTTTGGAGCAAAAAGACTTCAAACATGTGTACACAGCAAAGTTAAAGGATAATATTAAACTGGCAATGTAACAATTTTTTTGTGTTGATGAATACTTAAAATGTGACGTTAATTGTGTTTTAAACAGATCAATATAAAAAGGACAGGGGTACTCGTCGGGAAATTTTGAAAAGAAACCCTAAGAGGTACCAAGATCCTGGTTTGTGGGCATGGCTTGAAAGTTTTTTTCACCCCTAATAGGTAAAGAACATTATTATCTCCTGTCATATTTTTTCGACTCAATACCTGATGAGGTACTGCAAAAGCTCCTGCTGTGGACCTTGTGAACCTGAAATACCCTAAAGGTACCAAACCCGCTTCAATTTTAACCCCTAAAAGGTACTAGGAGCACCCCTGTCCTTTTTGGATGGGAGTCCCCCCTGAGTTAGAATCTTAATCCAGTCCCTTTATTGAAGTTCCACCATAGCAACATGTAGTTCCACAGTTATTATTCTACACCTGTCCTGAGGTAATTTTCTCACTTCTATTTTGTTGTTGTTGTTTTTTTTTTTTCAGGTTATTATTGTTAAGCAATTTGATAGTGATGTGTTTGAAGCACTGCTGGAATTTCTTCACATTGGATCATGTGATCTAGGATCCAGTCTCCTGCCTGGTTTACTCTCTGCTGCACACTATTATCAAGTAGAGGCATTATATGAAGTGTGTGTTGAGAGCATGAAGCGAACTAACAATGTGAGTTCCTTTATTGATTGATTGACTGACTGACTGACTGACCGACTGTCTGTCTGACTGACTGACAGACTTACGGTGTGACTAACTGACTGACTCACTCACAGACAGATGGATGGACTGACGGACAGTCTGAATAACCATCTGACTGGCTCACTGATGGACGGACCGACTGACTGACTAACTGACTGACTTCTCAGCGGGAGAGGGTACTCCCTTAAATGGGTTATATAGGTATGTGCAGCCCTAAAGGGTATGGTTTTTCAGCCGTTTTTGTCATAAATAGGGTATCGATTTTGGCCATTTTGGTCATAAATAGGGTATGGTTCTTACACTCTAGTCTTGAACTGGGTATGTTTTTTAGAAGAAGCTACCTTTTCATCATTATCAACAAGACCATCAACAAAAGCCTTCATAAATTATGTTAAATGCAACTGAGCCAGCCGCAACGGTCATAAATAGGATATCGAAGTTTTGGTCAGGTCATTAATAGGTTAGGGAAAATCGCAGATTTTGGTCATAAATAGGGTAAGGGTTTTAAGAAGCGGGCCGCACACCCCCACCCAATTTTTCTGGGAGTACCCCCTCCCCCGGGACAGACTTATTGCTTTCTGGTTTGATTGTTTGATTTGCTGCTGTAGTTTCATTCATTGCAAATGATTATTTTCATCAGAGCAACATATGACCCCCCTCGTGTGATCCTAAAGACAAACGTAATGCGAACTGACTTGCGTGGGTTCGGGCACGAGTTAACATAAGCCGGTCTGGAAAAAGTTCTCCAACCGGGTATAATTATGCCAACAATTCATTCGGCACATGCAAATTATGAGCAGTCACTAACTATAAAAGACATTTTCACAACTTGCAACCAAATCAAGCCTGGTAATGGCGGTATGATAAAATACTTACTGACAGAGTAAATTGGGGCTAGACGGGAAAATATGTGGCTCTCTGTCAGGACACAATGATCTCGCTACGTTCCGTCTGCAAGTCTTGATCTCGAGCCAAATATGTTCACGTCGGACTCCTTCAGGGAAATTACTGGAATTTTTTTTTTGACGCGAAATTGTGCAAGTTCCCATAGCAGTAAAATAGGATCCAATAGAGGAAAAGATAGCTCAAGAGATGTGCAGGCAACAAATGCTGATAAACGCCTATATACAATTGACTTGTGTTGCCTTTGTAGGACAAAGTATTGGAGGATGTTGTGCCAAACAGTGTTATAAGTCCTTCATTGAGAGCAAGTATACAGCCAGACCGCGTCACTGATACACAGTGCTAGCTGTTTTTAGAGGACTAGCTAGACTGGGTAACAATGGAGTCAACAAATTGGAGTTGTTTACAGATGCATGCCTCTTGGACATATTCCAGCCCGTCTTCACCAACAAGATTTACTGTTTCTCTGTCAGTGACAGAATTGCTGTGTATTTGAGAGTTTAAAGGAGCTCAGTCACGGTTTGCGCATGTTGAAAAGTTTAGCCTCAATTTTTCAAATTCGTCGTTTGTAATCCGTGTCAATCTTCTCCATCCTT